AAATGCATAACAAGCCAGAAGTTGCATGATCTCTATACCTTGAATTCTTCTTTCTGTCTTCTTTCAGCTGATGCTGCTGAACCCGAACCGTTAGTAACTTCCTCTCCCTCAACATAATTCTCCCATATCTGAGTCAAAAAAGAATATATAAACAAAATTAGAAAAAAAAATATCAAACAAGAATCAGGAGTTCAAAAGGCAAACGGGCAAGTGTATTCACCTTCAAATTTTTCTGCTTAGCAGATTGCTCAGCTTGGATCAGCAGATGAGCTTCTGGGACCCTATCAATGCTAAAAGATTGAATTTTTGCCAAGCCAGCTTCTAAAAGTGGTATAGCCACATTGGTTCTGTTCTCCCAAACGCTTCCCAAGAAAGTTCCAGTTCTATCAACAGTTTCCACTTCGATCTACATGTAAAAAATAGGAAAAATATCATTACTAACTGTGAGATGTAAAAGCACTACTGAGAAATAGGATGATAAAATTGATAAATATACCTCAACATCCCTCTGCATTATTTTTCTCCTCATGAAGGCAATAGCTTCATCTGAATAAGGCTCATCACGGCCTGGACACCTAACTCCAGACAACGAGAGCGCAATACTGCATGTTGCCTTAGGGATATCAATTTTATATCGGTGTCCACTTAGAACATATTCGACTACGGCAGACATCCTCCTATTACGTTGCAAAAAGGGTAGAAAGTCTCTCGCTTTCTTTGCAGAAGCCTATAATTTTCGGGCACAAGCACAAAGATTATGTTCTGATGCCATACAAACCAATCACACTCTTTCAATTATATATATTTGAGCATAGGACCCCATAATTTATATCATGTCATGTACTATAACCCAAATCAAGAAAAATTTATTAGAATTTTATTGAAGACAAATTAGACTAATCAAAGTTATCTCAACTGTACACATAGGATGAGACATCTTAACTAACCGTTAGCAAATCTGTCACATGCCTCACGGGAGGGTCCTTGGCAGAGTGCATGCCTTTCTTTCCGGAAATTGCACGCGACTCAGCAGAAAGGAGCGCATCATAATGATTAGACCGCTCCTCAAAATCCCGATGCCTAACAACAGTTGCAAACCCACGAGCAACTAAAAGCTCAGCTATGTTCACTCCACCTTGGTGGCTGCCAGCTCCAGAAGCAGCAGCAGCATCCCCATCCTTGAGAAGAAAAACGGACCCAAAATCCATCACTCTTGAGTCTGTTGACCCCGGTAAGGCACCTGGTCCTTCTGCCAAGCTAACCTTCCTGGAATACTCCATAGAAACATTCACCTGAAGAGGGACAATTTGTTTTAAGATTAAAATTTAAGCACAATAAATGATATGGGCAAAAATTGCATTTTTAGTCTTGTTAGTTTAACGTCATAGCAATTTTATTCCCAAGATTTAAACTTTTCGCCTTTTGGTCCTGTGATTTAATGTTTTGTTGCAATTTTAGTCCTTTGAGGACTGAAATTGCAACACAATTTTAAATACAACACTTAAACTGCTAATCGAAAATCTGGGAATTGGGAATTTGTTGCAATTTAGTCCTTAAAGGACTAAAATTGCAGCAAATATTAAATCAATGGACCAAAAAGCAAAATGTTGGAACCTTGGGACTAAAATTGTTAGGACATTTAACCAGCAGGACTAAAAATGCAATTTTGCCAATGATATGGTTGAGAACATAATAATAATAATAACAACATCATCATAATTATAATAATGAAACCATACTTGTCGGCCAATCAAACGGGTTCTGAGAAACTCCTTGGCATCACGAGCATATGGGTCAGGTTTTTGATCTCTACGCGGATTACCCATTTTAGGGCCCCGAATGCTTGACAGATTGACTCGTCTCTCGGCAGCTGGATCTCCGAATGGCAAGGAATCATCAGCAACAACAATGCAATCAGCACTTGCGACCTCAATAACCTGCATATTCAGAAAAGTTGCTCTGAAGAATATCAGGAAAACAGAGACCGAGGGAATTTCAAAAACCAGTGTTGGTCACTTACTTTTCCTGTGAAGTTTTGATCATGAATGGCCTTCGAATTTGTGGCAGGTGGAACATAATTGGTCCAGATTCTTAATCTAGACTTCTTTGCTTGAAGTTCAGCGGTTTTCAACCTCCGCCTGGCTTCGTCTTCCAGCAAGCTAGCACTCCACTCAACATACTTAGCCAAACCCTAAGCATCACAACATTCAAGAATGCTGTTATACACTAACCAGAAATGTATCAAATCATGACATATGGGACTAAAAAGGAACAGGTTGCAGAAGTAGTTGACATATCTAGCGTGTTTGAACAGAATAAAAATAAGTGAATAAATAAGCTTTACCAAAAAGGAACTAAAAAGAGCAAATATTTAATCAAAAGTCTCATTCAAGGTCATTAGCAATTTTTATAAAATTCTCCACTGCAGTTCTTCAAGTTAACAGAATTGCTTACATTTTCAACCAGCTCGAGAGCCAAATCCTTTGCTGATTCACCATCAGGATAGTACACCGAACCAGTCAAATTGCTGAATTTGTCAACACCTTCCAATACAATCCTCACCTGTAATCCACAACAAAAAAAATGCATTAGAAACCCAAGCATTTGTAAAACTCCATCCGCCCCACAAAATTTATTTGTGCTTCTAAATACAACTCACATCTCTGTGCAGCACACGGATCTCTGTGAAATGTTTGGCTTCTCTCCCATATGGATCAGCAGGAACTTCAACCATAGGCACTGAAGAAGCAGCTAATCTCTGTGCGGATGTTAGGGGAGCACGAGTTTCAGCTGTTGAGTCTTCATTTTGTTCATTAGAGGCTACCTCTGTACCAACAACAGATTCTGATGCAGCCCTTCTGCCCGCAGATGGAGACTGGCAGACAAAATTTGAACAGATAGTATCAGAAGTTTAAAAACTTCAGGGGATGTGGCAGAAGGGTTATGGTAACACAGTAAAACTTATATACAGGAAATCAAACCTGGATACCAGCAACAAATACTTGAACATGCTGAAATTCTGGCAGCAAATAAACACGAATTGTGCTCCCATCGCGAACCTGGTCAACAATAGCCTCCAAAGGGCTACCTTTCTTAGCGGCCAATAAAGCCATAGCATCAAAGTTACTAGAATCACTGACAGCTGAAGGAGGCAAATCCCTAATGGCGGCTTCAGAAGCACCAGGCACCTGAATTAGGAACAAAAATCCAGGAAAATTATTTCCATCTTCTGAATCAAAAAGGACCACATTTTTTATAAAAAAAAATATGCATATATAATTCATGCATTAAAATTACTACTGAAAGTCAAGAAGTCAGGTTGATGAATTAATAATATTCAAGATGTAAAACATACACACCCTGTTCCAACGACCTAGGCCTTGCTGCTTAGCCTGTTCCTCAAGTCGTAACAACTCTGTCAAGAAAGGACTAGCTTCTCCTTTCTGCTGACCTTGTTCTCTAACCTTCATAATACAAATTAATATATGTGTTATACAAAGCATAGACCAAACACAATCACTAACCTTCAAATCAGAATGAATAAATGCAATACCTTTGCCCAGCCTGCAGCAACCACCAGCAAAGCCACATTCTTATCTCCAAGGAAAACAGAACCAAATTCCCGATTGATGGACGGCACAGTGTAATCCACCCGGAAAGTCACCTCCTAAAATGCAAAAGGCCAATACTGTTTTTAGACTGTATGCTTTAAGAAGACGAGGTCAATCCATAAAATATTTAAGAATTTCTCTTCAGGGAAAATAAATCCAAAGTAAATCTCACCTTCCCAATGCAAAGTTTCCTTAAAAATTCTCTGCTCTCCCATGCAAACGGTTCATCAAGACCACCTCTACGGGGAGCCTACAACTCAAAAGGAAAACATAAGCAACACAAGAAAAGATTGATTAATGAATACTGTGTTATGTGACACTCATCATGCAAATGAGCCATCATAAATCCAAACAAACCACATTCAAAAGATTTATCCCAAGCTACAAAATGCAAAATAGAATACACCCAAACATTACTCGAAGTTACAATTGAACAAAAAGTATTCTAACAGAACATCTTAATCTAAAAGTAAAATTGCATTGACAAAATTGTAACAACTAAATACCACAAGACAGATCAGAGGTGCACGCATGGAGGGGTTAAAACATACACAATAAGGTACCAATCAGAACTAAGGCACGATAATTCACACTGATATGATTTTCAATATCCAAATCCCTAATCCCTTAAATCAACTAATTTCAAAAGAAAATTAGCCGTTCAAACAAAGAGAAGAGAAATAGATTGTTTAACGTGGATACAAGTTAAGTCCAACAAAAAGCGAGACAACATTCCAAGCTGAACTTACCAACTTGGGAGCCATTAGAGATGATAAAGTGATCGTCTTCTCTGGAGGAATCTCGGCTTTGGAGTTGCCCATTATCACCAAGCTGTCGCCAGATGGAACACCTTTCACTATTCCCCTCAGCCATCCTGTGGCTCCAGCTGTTGATGCCATTACAACAGCAAAAGACTGCAAAACTACTAACTTTAGCCAAAGATAAAAAATACAAAATAATATTTACAATTTCTCAACCCTATAGATAGTAGGTCCACATGCTCACCCATAAATATATAAATAGATTAACATGAAAATTGGGGTAAGTCAAAAGAACAGGGAAAGTGAAGGAAATAAAGCACACAACTTTGACCTTTAACTCAATCCTAACACTTCATATGTCCACTCCTAGTTTTTTTCATGGTTAGCTTGACACCCGAAAAGCACGGACATGTTTTAATAACTTGTAGCCTAATTGCTAATACCATTTAAGTCATACCATAGCCCCCACAGACTGAACAATTAATTTCAGCTAATTCTAACACCATTTATTATACCATGGCTAAACGTGGCAAAAAGAAGAAACCTTTAATGCCAAAACTAACATAACTTGTAGTTCGGTGAAATCTATGTTGATTACTGACCACCAAATCAGCAACAAAAGATTTTAATTAGAAGAATCGACATGTGTTGAAAAGAGCATCATCAATTAAAATTTAGTTAGGAGATCTCTAAGATCCATATGAAAATTACAACACTAAAGAAAGATACAATCCCCTCATAAATTCAAAGATCCAGACGATCAGTGAAACCCACGATAAAAATCAATTCAACTCACAAATACATATTCTACCAAGAAATATACAGAAAACCATTCATGTGCACAAATACATGATTGCAACAAAATTGAGAGATATTTAACTATCGTTTAGAATTTTAGCCGGGTTGCAGGGTGCTAATCATACACATATGAGGAAAGCATCAAATGGGAAAAAAGAAAAAGACAAAACCCAGCATTGATGTACATGCAAGCACTTAAAGAACTAAGATACACCAACTAACATAAACAGAGAGAGATCTACATCTTAAACATTACCGATCAGCACACTCCCGCACAACAAAGCAAATCGAATTCAAAAGCTCCCACAAAACATAAACATCGAATTCAAAAGCTCCCACAAAACATAAACAACTTAAGAGCATGCATTAAAAAAAGCTTCCAATGAACAAGATCTGTAAAAATATACTTGTAAATTACCACAAATAAATATCCAAAGTCGAGCGCACTGATAGGCAAAGGAAGGAGTAATCAATCCGATATCTGTTTCAATAAAAGATCAATTCATCAAAACAATTGAATTAACATTCATCAATATAAGAAAATGAAATTTACATGTTAATATTCTCAATTTAGAGAAAAAAAAAAACAAAAATTGAAAGTGTTGTTTGTAAGAAAACCTCCGGACGGCGGATCGAAATTCTAAATAACAATGTCTAACGAAAGTTTGACATTATATAGCCGAGGAGGGACCAAGAAATATGACGTCACACAAAATAACCTTATTTATCAACAGAAATTACTCAAAATTGCCCTAGGGATTTTACTCTAGAAGTAACAATACTATTTCATCGTCAACAATGATTCGAGTCTATTTTTACTTACTTGACTTGTTATATAAAAATATATAAATCATGGATGAGATAGACAAAAATATATAAAATTAACAAATTAACTCCCTTGTAAAGAGATTAAGGGTAAACTCAATTTTTTTTAATTATTGTCACGTAAGCAAGACTCAATCTACTTACACTTGAATAGAAATATATATTTTTTTAGACTGAGTCTATTTTCGATGTGACCAATATATTTTTTTTTTAATGAAACCAAAACATTGCGGATACTCGTATA